GAAACTATCATTTGCTATCAGGAAGGAATATCCAATCGAATAATGATTACGAAACGATGATACACTGCCAGTCGAAAATCATTCTGAATGCACGATGCATCCGCGTTTGACACCATTAACACACACACACTCTACTCGCAATATCAGACGCATGCAAACATTGACATATACAAGGATGTTTATTCGCATACGTGAGCGTATATGTACGCGTGAATGTATGTAGCGAGTGGGACCAGTCAGGGTTTATTATGAGGTACGAATTAACAGCTTTTTCACCAGGTTAATATAGAAGAATGATTTGCGCAAGTGTTCACTAACACACTCTCGCTCATTCTTGGTGCCAGGCAGTGTAACAAGATATTTGGTTAATATATTTGGCTACAGGATAGAACAGAGAATGGAATATCTATGTATTAACAGGTCATAAATTGTCACGCTTGGTCGAGAGGCAATCCGAAAGAGAAAGGGACATAGACAGTAAAACAAAAATAGAGAGAGTGGTACTTACAGAGACAAAAAAGACAGTCCGACACAGAGAGAGATTAGATAGAGGCAATTGTTTGTAGTGAGGGGTTAAATCATGTTTTGTAACCTGTATTCATTGTGAATATTCATTGGGATTTCATTTTTAAACGTTGTTATTTCTGTCCCCCCCAAAATTGTACATATGCGGACTAGTTAGGACTACATAGAGACTCTGAGGTATTATGGTGGCTGTTGTAAGAATGGTAAATAAGAATGTGTTGTTTTGGTGTAAGGAATATTGTGATATGTTTGGGTTTGTAATCGTGGCTAGTTAAGTTTAAGAAAAAATTGAAGACCAGCCTTCTCCTCTCACCCCTTTTGGCCTTGTGTCATATTTTTGTATTATCAAAATAAATCTTACTTTCATCTATGGTACTAAACCGACAAATTGTGTATACAGGAATTAGTTAGAACTTCATAAAGACTCTGAGATATTATGGTGGCTGTAGTAAAAGTGGTAAATAAGAATGTGTTGTTTTGGTGTAAGGAATACTGTGGTATATTTGGGTCAGTAATCGTGCCAAGGTAAGTTTAAGATAAGACAGATTGAAGACCAGCCTTCCTTTATCCCACCTCTTGGCCATTGTGCCATATTTTTGTATTATCAAAATAAATATTACTTTCATCTATGGTACTAATCCGACAAATTATGTATACAGGAATTAGTTAGGACTTCATAAAGACTCTGAGGAATTATGGTGGCTGCTGTAAGAATGGTAAATACGAATGCGTTGTTTTGGTGTAAGGAATATTGTGGTATGATTGGGTTAGTAATCGTGACTAGCTAAGTTTAAGACAAATTGAAGACCAACCTTCTCTTATCTCCCCTTTTGACCTTGTGTCACATTTTTGTATTATCAAAATAAATATTACTTTCATCTATAGTACTAATCCGACAAATTATGTATACAGGAATTAGTTAGGACTTCATAGAGACTCTGAGGTATTATGGTGGCTGTTGTAAGAATGGTAAGTAAGAATGTGTTGTTTTGGTGTAAGGAATACTGTGGTATGTTTGGGTTAGTAATCGTGGCTAGGTAAGTTTAAGACAAATTGAAGACCAGCCTTCTCCTATCTCTCCTTTTTTTACCTTGTGTCACACTTTTGTATTATCAAAATAAATATTACTTTCATTTATGGTACTAATCCGACAAATTATGTATACATGAATTAGTTAGGACTTCATAGAGACTCCTGTGGTATTATAGTGGCTGTACTAAGAATGGAGAGTAAGAATGTGTTGTTTTTGTGTAAAGAATACTGTGGTATGTTTGGGTCAGTAATCGTGCCAAGGTAAGTTTAAGATAAGACAAATTGAAGACCAGCCTTCCCCTATCCACCTTTTTGGCATTGTGCCACATTCTTTCATTACAACAAAATAAATATTGCTCTTCTCCTTGGTATCTCGACCGCATTAATTTAACCATACTACGTGATCTCATCGTCTTACTGTCGAAATAGCGAGATATAATTGCAAGTTCTATTCTAATAGTTTATTTTCCTGCAATTTTCACCTGTGGAACTCTCTTCCGGTTACTTGCTTTCCAGCCACCTACGATCTTCAAAAATTTCAATGTAATGTCAATCGCCATTTGCTCTCTTTCTAAAAACTGTTTCTTTTAATGTCCTAAAGTTTTCTACACTCTAAGTAGCCCATGGCGTGTTAGTGGTACTACCCTCTTACTTGGGATGAAATGAATAAAAAGAAATTATTATTATTACATTATGGAAATATTACATTATTTTAACGTTTATTTTTTATATATATATATATATATATATATATATATATATATATATATATATATATATATATATATATATAAAAAAAAGAACTAGACGGGACACCTTACTTGTCACACTTAACTCTCCAACGATATTTCAAGCGAACTGAGAAAACTTGAAGAGATAACGTGGTTTCTTTATAAGCTTTCGATTTAGCAGTTCCACCATCATGCAGCAGAGTTAACAAGGAATGTTAACCTTTTATATTCACATTGCATTTTTACAGGTGTTGGAAAAAGCGTTTTGTATGTCTAGAGAATACGAAGACAGTGGCTGCCACCAAATAAGCAACCAGTGCCAGCACCAATAGCAGGAACGCATCCACAGATGCCCTTGCTTTAAGTGGAATATGAAATGTGTCCAGTATTTACATTAGTCGGACTATTGTCCTCATCTTTGTCGCCATATTTGTCACAACGTTTCCGCCGTTGTACGCTCCGGCCTTTTTCAGGTGGTTGGAATTTCGAACTGAACCCTTTATTTCGATCGCTGGGGTAGACTGTTCTAATTCCACGTGCCATGTTTGATGGATGTCAGTTATCAGTTATCTCCTGCTAATTTTCCCTCTGAAAGTTCTCCACTGCCTTAACCAGCAATTGAACTCACCTTCTTTGGGTCTGTCACTGGATCTAACCAACGCCTTTATCCACTGTGCCATGTGTCCTTGAGGAAACGGCCGAAACGTTGTGACAAATATGGCGACAAAGATGAGGACAATAGTCCGACTAATGTAAATACTGTACATAATACCTCATCTCAGAAATATAGACAAACTATGAAATGTGTCATCGTGTCAAAAGGGTTTGCCCTTTACTGGTAGATGATTATAAAAGCACGGGGTGTACTGTGTAAATGCATTGACTAGTAAATTAATTAAGGATTCAATATGATGCAGTGTTTTCATACTTGTTAGGCACTGCTGGTCCCGTTCTTGCTTCCCCTATGGATACACACATTTATCATAATAGCTGATATCTTCACAATCTGCAATATTTTCGGTTTTGGCCTGATATCTCGGCTTCAATCACATTCCTACCGTCGTAACGTACCTTCCCCTTTCCTATTCTACAAATATATTCATGGAAAGTGTTCTGATGGCTTTTCCACTTTGATGCCTAGACTTGATGAATTTAAGAGTAGTACTAGATTGGCAGGTAGGTCTCATCATTTTACTATCGAAATTGCTAAATATTGACTGTTGATTGATTTGTTTTGTCTTTATGTATTATCAACCCTTTGTGGTTATTTAAATATTTTGGATTGTAAAAATTTATTTTCTGCGATTATTGCATTAACAATTTTTCTTGAAGATATCAATGATTTTTACAGGTACAAGTCCTACTATTTAGCCCATAGCTGGGGGAAACAGATGAATTCATGCCTTTCTCAAGGGTATTGGTGATTGTAAATGCAAAGTAGATAAATATAACTTTAGGTAAGCAAAAAGAGAAAGTAAAAATAAGACAAACTAGGTAACAAAACCGGTAACTGTTGAAAAAGTTGAAAGAAATAATAATAAACAATACATAAATAATTAACAGTAATAATAATAATCATAATATATATTAAGTGAAATAATAATAATTGCAAATTATATTGAATTTTTATATTACTTTTAGCAATACAGTAGTCCACCGCTATTAGGCGAACCAGTTTACCGTGGTACCCGGTGTACCGCGGGTGGGTGTTGAACCTCAAGATTTTGCTCTCGTGCCCTCAATATCGCTGACTTTGATGCTAGACTTGATGAATTTAAGCGTAGTACTAGATTGGCAGGTAGGTCTCATCATTTTACTATCGAACTTACATCTCACCAATGGAATATAAAGGGGGTGAGGGTGGTTCTCCACAATGGGTGTGGCATGGCAGGTCTTAGGCATTAAGGTAAGAACTGGTGGAATAAAGGAGTGTTGTTTGTCTTAATACTTTCCATGAAAATACCCATAGAGCAGTGAGAGACGCAATGTTTCGTCTGAGAAAGAGGCTGTAGGCTAGGAAGTTATTCATCACCCACAAGGACGCTTTTGGACAATTGAAACTGGATAGTGAAAACAAGACAACTGCTGCCCATAAACAATTTTACAATTTTAACCTCTCCAAGACTAGGGGGAAAAGTTTTCTTCCCCTTCCTATCTGCAAAAATTGCCACCTAACGTAACACTCTACCTCGAGTGGCTTCTGAGCCTTGTACAGGGTGAACCTTATCGTAAAAAAATGTACTTCATTTTCAGTCTACTGATCTGGCTCTTATAATGATAAAGAATAGCAGCAATCAGGTACTTACAGGAGCAGCACAAGGATCTGACCATTTTTCCAGCATCAGACTGATTGATGGTGCTTCATAACAAAAACAAACAATTACAAAAATTGTACAAATATTTTCTTAAAAGTTGCTATATTACCTGAAAGTAAACATATGCATAATAATAATACAGTAGTCCATCACTATTAGACGAACCAGTTTATCGCAGTACCTGGTGTACAGTGGGTGGGTGGTGGACCCCATGATTTTGCTCTCTTGTACCCTCAATATTGCTCACTTTTTAAGAAATTCCACCTTATTTTACCAATTTTAGGGCCATGTTCTTCACGATAGACAATAAGTTGAAATTTTGGGTAACTTTCTTTTTAAGCCCGGCGCTAAATATCTAATAGAAATTTCCCGAATAGTTATATTTACGTGAATATTT